CTGGTCGATACAATGAGTGATCTGTGTAACGGAGAATGAAAATCATATCTATATTTGGACGGTTTCTCCTGTTCATTAATATATTTTGCAGTGATAGTGATGGCAATAGTAATGAGTATGCAAATCACATTGAATATTGAGCCCATTTCAAGTTCCTAAAGATATGGAAGGAAATAACGGTGAAAAAACTAACCCCGGTTTAAAATAAATGAATAAATAAATAAAAAACAATCAACGATAAAATATGATTTTTACACTTTTTTCACGTTCTGACTTAACCACTTTTAAGTAAGCAATTTTTTCCCTTTCATTTGAAAACTCATTAAATTCTCTCTTCAATTCAGATGGTAGAAACTCTTGATTATCTGAACCATTTTGTGTATTTTGATCATTTAGGGTTTTGAAGCACTCTTGCTAATTGAGATATCTTCGGTGGTGTCTAAACCAGACATTTTTTAAATGTTAAAATCGAATTACAAGTGTGTATGTGAGCACGTACGTAAAATATTTGTTTTTTTTCTTTTTTTTTTTTTTCTTTTAATATTAATGGTACAGTACGTAATTGATATCTGATATCGATATGGTGTTGTTGATCAAAAATTGTTACACAAGATGACAAGTTAGGGTAACATCAATCAAAACGTGAAAATGCATATATCGTTGAAAATTATTGTGTGGAAATTTATTGAATTTATTATAATCAGGATTTCGTGTTTGAGTGAGAGGAGTATAGCTATGGAAAAATTAGGTTGAATATATCATGACTGAGAATATTCTGTAGGAAAATGATAATTTGACCATTCAAAGAAATTTTACCGCGCGATCGACTTCAAGATTAGGCTAACGCAAAAGAATTAAAAATCAAAACTATCTGAGAAAAATTCTTCATAACACTTTACCACAACCTACTCATGAACTTTTTGTAATGATAAAGTTCCTCCAAACTTAATCTATTATAAAACCTAATCCTAATCTGGAAACGAATTTTTTTTAGATTTGCGACGCTAGGGTCCCAGGATACTTTAACGCCTGGATGCATACATGGTATAGTCTGCAAAGTACAATTTTTTTTTGATATTGAGATGATAAAAAAATGTATCGATTTTTTTTAAGTATACCAATTATTTATTCATTAATAGGAGTATTTGAAATTTTTATAGTGCTAATTTAGTTGATAGACAATTTTCTATTCAAACATAACGAATATCTATTAATTTAACCTCGATGTAATCACCTGATTAGTAACCAAATTCAATGTGACTAAGTTAATAGTGTCCATACAGAGGTTAATTATTTATGCTTTATGACTATTTGTAAATCGAAAATACAAATATTTTTTTTTATAATACAGTATGCAATTATATCAAGGGCGTTCTGACTGTATTCGAAATAATTCTATTGATATTAATTTTTTCGTATGTTGTCATCGCATATCAGGCATAAGTATTTATTCTTGTATAATAATAAAATTATATTCCTCACGATAAATACTCCTTTTTTAAAATTATAATTAGTGATATTAGTAGTATATGTATATACTTATGAGTTTTCTATTACAGTCGCACTCCCATATAATCACACCATCGGAACCCACAAAAGGTGTTCTTATTTAGAAAACGTGCTTACATAGGGAACTATTTTTTATGCATTTAATAGTTTATATAGGAGATTCTTATATGGGAGTGTGACTGTATTACAATATTTCATTGATTCGCTAAATGATATCAATAATATTGGAGCAATAATTCTACACAAATGACAGCTTACAATAAGACATGAAAATTAGCATCTAGAATAATTTCTACGGTAATTAAATCTTTCTAAAGGTGTCATTTTGAAAACGAAATTTACTAAATATTCAGAGACAAATGGCTTAAAAGTATTAGAATTGTTTTATTGCCTGGAGCATAACAATGGGCATTTAACATTTGTCAAAGTGATACCAAAAAAAGTTACGTTTTGGTTGGTATTATTGTTTAACAGTCAACACAACATAAATTTTCGTATTAAAAATGCAAATTTAGAGATACTGTACAGATTAATGCGTAAATTATGTACAATTAATATGCATAAAAGCATTTCATTGGAAAGCAGGTACAATAATGTGCAGAGCATGTAATCACATGCCCAAATTACATTAACACTTCAAGAAGAAAAATGTTAGACAAGCCATGACTTTTGATCTTTGACATTACCCTATAGGAAATAATAGCATGGGTATACGGAATTTTAAACACGAGACAACACTAAATTGCACGTAAATATATATGGGAAATGCACTGAACAGCATGTCTAAAACTCGTAAAAAGGCGCGGGCAGACTCCGTACAACATTACATGTATTGACATGCATTTTTACGTGTTTTCACATATCTTTAACGTATTATCACATATCTTTTACGTGTTAACACGCATATTTTACGTGTAGTAACGTATTTTTACATGCTTTCCGTATGCTTATCCTTACAATTATGTATAGCTACGTGTTTTTTTCGATAATCAATTTCCGTGAAGGAATTGAATTACGTGTCAAATTCCGTAGTAGTATGTGCATTTCCGTGTACTTATTTCTTATAGGGAAACATAAAGTAAATCTTTCTGTTCACAAGAATAAGCTTCTTCGAGAATATATTGAAGCATTAAATATGACGCATTTCAATTAACAGGATCAAAAAATGAGTAATAATAATAATGCATGTTGACAAGAGTCAACAGATCGAAAAGACAGGGGAGATGGTCAGCGGTTACACGCATGCGCTACAACCCCTGCCCTGAAACATGGGTTTGGGATCTTAAGAGACATTAGTCCACAGGAACTTCATGCGAATAAAGCGACGCAACCTACCACAAACAGTATTTAAGAAGCGACAAATAACTCACTTGCGACACCATGTCCTCTTTCAACAAAACAAGCGTTAGAACCGTCTCTTTTTTCTCGACCCAACACTTCCTACCACACACTGTAGTCTCATGATTCTGCCATTTTCCTATTTAACAGCCGGCCTGCTTCTAGCAGGCGACTGATGCTGCTTCTCACTCGTTCTACTGTTACGATGATACCCGGCGCAATCTCACTTGCGGAAGCATATCATCGGTTCAGTTCAAATTACTCAGCTCAAATTACTCACAATGTATTCTGCTGATTTAAAGTCCTTTAATTGAATTTATTTCCTGCACGTTTGGCTAGCCGGCATTCTTCCAAACACATGACCAGTCGTACCTATACTTTTCGTAAATAGTTAATGGCCTTGCATAATTCATATAATCTGTAAATTAATATAATATTTAGTTAATAAATTCCAAATTTCAATACATAAACTTTAATGAAGTTAAGATTTTATTTTTGTAGAGTTTTTTCCAACGTTTTAAAATTTTTTAAAGCTAAGTTAATTATTTTAAATATCAATATCAATTAGGGTAAGATGTCAAAGAAATATTATTGTAAAGGGCTTTTGCAAGTACTTTCTCTTTTTAAACCCAATTTATTATAACTAAAAATTAAGGAAGTCAGGGCTGTATTTTTTTAAGAACCTTTGCAAGTGCTCTGCTTTGTTATCGCTTAAATCATTACCGAAAAGATCAAGGGTGGATAAAGTTTTATTTTCATAAAGAGAATTAATGGTCGCCTTAATCAATGAGTCAAAAAAAGTCGGTGAATAAATTTTACTGAGCAGAAAATATTTTAGGCGGTGATGAATATCCAAATAATACCCGTAATTTTAAGGTCTAATACGTGAATAAACTATTTTTATTAGTAAAAAGCTTTGAGTTTGTCATTTCCATTTGCAAACTTTTTTCCACAAGCCATCTTTTTTATATACCTGACTTGTCAAAATTTACAATTAATTGAGTACTCAAAAAGATCAACGAATTATTTTTTTATTCATTACACTAAAGGTTTATGAACAATAAAAAAAAAAAAAATCAGAAAACCAAAAAAAAACAGATTTTACCATTTTTTGCCAGTAACAAATTTTACTATTTCGCCAATAATTTCTTCATTTCATTCAACAATCAAATATCAATGAAGACCTAAATCTAATGGCGACGATATTGATAAATAAATAAAAATTTAATTAATCGCCCAATTATCAGTTGCAATTTTTATTTCGAAGAATTATGATAAATGAACATCATCACGTCAGGATTGAGGTCTGAGAACATCCATAATTATTGCTGTGCACTATTACGATCGCTAGCTAGTCACATCAAGATTGAGGTTTGTGAACACCCAATATTTTCATTTCCTCAAAATTAAGATTACGAAATCAGACCGATGCTTTTACTAAAATTAAATTTATTGAAGATCTAATAAAGTAATAGTGGTGTTTTCATGAACTTTTTCTAAAATCTTTATTGAATTGTTACAAGTGTTTTCCGTAAGACTTAAATAATTGACTGTTTTACTCGTTCGTGCTAATATTTTAATTAAAGAATATATGACAATTTTAATCATATATTATCATATTCATTGCATATATTACAATATTGTAATATTTATCATGATATCTTCATATTCTTCACGTTAAAAAATAATGTGATTACTTTTTTTAAATTTTCTTCAATATTTAGCGATAACAAATATATGCTTATAAGTTACCTATCTCCGCAGTATTTCAATGTTTCGTTTCAAAATATTGGAACAATAATTATGCGCCATTGAAAGTTTATCAGAAGACATGAAAATAAGTGTCGAATAATTTTTTTAAATAAATAAATATTACCTCAGGGCATTCATTAAAAGAGTTAAAAGGAAAAACAATTAAATAATATAAAAAGTATTAATATTTTCCGGAGGATATTCAAAATTCAGCAAAATAATATAGAAGTTACGTGACATTTTTTAGTAATACTTAGCGTTAAATCCAGTCAATCATCTTATTGATTAATTAGCACAAAATTATGTGTCCTAGCCTAGTATTGTAAAAAGTTGCGGCTAAGTCAGCCGATCTAGTAAAGCCAGCTGGTTAATGCTAAAATATGAGAAATAGCATGGTTGGATTTTTAGATAGTATCCATACTCGTCCTGAAATAACGCGCACGTCGTAATAATTCTGTGTGCTTTTGACACACTTTCATTTTGTTTTTTTTTATAGAGTGAGGCCTGGCCTCGGTCTTTATTGAATAACTAAGCGTTACTTTGTTTAAATGGGTTACATGAATTATAACGCGACCTACAATTTATCCTCAGCCCAAAACTCTACTAGAGTGGGCTATTTGGCCTTCACTAGATTTAGTTTAGCTATATATGATATAGATATATTGGTTGTGGGAAAGATCCTTGCCCATTTATTATATTTGGTTATACTAATGTGGTGTATAGAAGGGTGGGATGGGACGTAATAGTGTTAGTGTCTGTTAGAAGTGTATTTTGGTGACATTCATAATAAAATATTTGCACATAATAACCACGAAGAATCTTTACGATCATCGCATGCAGACAATTTCCGTCA